GAAAAATGTACTATAAAAAGACTAAACTGATTTGTCATGTAGCGTTGCATATAAATATTACAATACAAAAAGAAGACTAAGCAAGCACTACAGTGACAGACTAGAAGGATTGAAGATGGTGGGTCTGGAGAAAAAGACAGGATCAAGAAAAGGTGGTGATACAAAGTAAAGACTAAGGAGAAAATGAGTCAGAATACAGCAGTTTTGGAATCAAGTCTGGATTCTGACAGGTACAACTTGAGAGTCGTACCAGTACAGAGATAAATGTGCTTTCCAGGAGAAACCTGTGATGAATTTAATTTAGGGCCATGCAGGAGGAGGTCCATGTTGGCATGTTGATCAGGCAGCTGAGGCCTAGAAAACAAGTGTTCCCATAATGAGGATGTAGCCTTGAAAGCCAGATTTTGTGGAAAAATGAGACCTGAACAGACTACTGCTCAACTTTAATGTTTTCTAGCATAGGCAAAAGTAAACATGATCAGTCCTCAATACAGCTGCCAAGTGTCTTTTCCTCTTGTGCACTCTCACCTTGTTGGTGGAGCCCCTGGCCCATCTACACATGCTAGTGTGTAGTAATAGAGAGGAAGCTTCTAGACCATCCAGAGAAACCGACAGGAAGTAGCAGAAAGAATGCATCCCGGAAAACAAATGGCATGGCCTGGAAGTACAGAGCCCCAAAGCATAAGTATGTGGGCAACCGGTATATAGTTAAGAAGTAAAAAATTACGTATATGCATGTCTGTGTGTACATGTGTATATGTCCAATTAATTGCATACTGACTCAGGAAAGAGCAGAAAGTGTGTTTCATCCACCAGTCCCGTCCCTAAACTCCACTGCAAATCACCTTCTTGCTTATTTATTCAACAGGACTTAATGACTACTATTTATGTGCCAGACATTAGAAAAGACCCAGGCGGAGCAGAGTCTCTGCCTTCACAGAAGCCACATAGTACAGAAATTACACACACACCCATTAATTCTCTCAAATTATAATAAATATAAAACAGAGAACATGTGATTTTAATTCTATCTACCTTATTTCCCCAAAGTGTGTGTAAGTAGAGCTCCACAGGGACAAGAAGGTATGGAGATCAATTCATAGGATGAAAATCACTCACTTGAGAAGATACAAGGAGGGGGGCCTGATGATGAGCAATAAATATCTAGACCCATTTCTACCTCAACTGCCACCCACAATCCTGGCAGTTAGTTCAGAAGACAAACAACACAAGGCAATGTCTAGTGCCAGCTTTGGAGGCCCGGAATTTTCTATCCAGCATTCTCTTTTGTTTCCAGCTTCCCTCTGGAGCTCTGTCTTTGGGTCTAAGAAATAAGAGATGGAGAAATGGACGAAAATGTTGCAAGTGGATCTCAAATGGTAATAGTAGAAGTTTGAGGTAAGATCGAAATGATCATATATATATATATATATATATATATATATATATAAACTGGTTTTGACTAAATTTATATTTTCTCCATTTTTTTCCTATTCATTGGATCAAATATTTATTGAATAGGAGAGTTAGGAGTAATTTTGTAGAATCTTGGTTTTATAGACTCTTCAGCAGACATACCAATGCATGCAGGAATCCATGCTCTTAAGTTACAGTTGCAGTATGACATCATCCTGTTGGATAGTTATTGCCTTATAGTACATTTATGATTTTAACACACATACCTTCTACATTGCATGCATGTGGTAACCTGACATGCTGAAAGGTATTCATAGTACAAATCAAATACTACCTAGAATAAGTCTTACTAATAGGCAGTATTTTTTCCTAAAACATAGTCTTTCAGCTTAGCATTCACTCAGCACCCCCAGGTCTAATCTTTAAAATCCAGTTTTTCATCACCAAATTCCTTCTGTTTTGTGAGGACATTCAATACAGGTAGGGAGAATATCTGGCAGGGCTGGTGGAGAGAGTGGTTTTGGTAGGGTATCAGGAAAAGAATCCATCTGGATGGCTTATTTATAGATACTTGTGTAAGGAAAAAGATAGTCTGAAGAGAAAGAGTATCTCAAATTTTAATTGTCTGGGAGGAGAGGTGTGTAGGTGTGAGTGCACAGAAAGTTAAGTGTTCAGGAATATACATCACAGACCTTAGTGTTATACTTGTATGATTTAATAAAATATATCATAAAATGAAAAACCATATCAGATGCCCAAGAGACCTTTAAGTAATCACACATAACATAGTAGCTACATTATTGTAAAAGATTTAAAATTATTGAAAGTTAGCGTTTCGGGGCTGGGGGTTTAGCTCAGTGGCATAAGCACCTGCCTTGCAAGCAGGCAGTCGTGAGTTCAATCCCCAGTACTGATAAAAAGGAAAAAGACAAAAAAAAAAGTTAGCCTTTCTGTTCAAAGTTAATAGTGTTTTAAACAAATCTGTCATTTCAGCCTAACTGTAATTTAGCTGGAAAATATCTGTTGATATGAAAGAAACTTAAAACAATTTTTTAAAAGTCTGTGCAGCATAGTTTCTGACTTCAACAGAACATAATATGGTAGAGAGATTCAAATACAATCATAACAGATTTCAGAGAACTGATTTGGGTTTAAGGCAACTTGGCAAAATGTCTTGGAAGAAGTAGCATTTAAGCTGGGACTTGTAGTATGAATACCTTTCATTATCCCAGCTTACCACATGCATTCTATGTAGAAGGAATGTGTGTTAAAATCATAAATGTACCACAAAGCAAAAACCTGAGTACCTGAGTTTGGCAAATGCATAAGTTGAGATATGAAAGAAGTATGGACTTACACCATAGAGTTTTGGTGGGCCTTGGGCCAGACTCAGGATCCTGAATTTCATGCACTTAGAAGTCAGGAAACTTTTTTCAGTGACCAGAGTCCCTGTTAGAGTTGTTCTTTAGAAAGGCAAATCTGATACCTGGAGGAAAGAGGTAAAAGCAAATAGCAGAAAGAAGATAAGGTGCTTCTCTTTGTACAGGTGGTTCAGGGTAGGGCAGATGTCATGGATTTGTAATTAAAAGAAAGACCAGAGCAGAGAGAAAAGTTAAAGGTAAAAATAAGACATCTCCAGTGATGGAGAAAAATGTAAGAACCGTGAATGAAAGAACTACCCAAAAAACCCAAACCCTGCTCTGAGAACTAAGGAAGAAGAAAATAAGAAACTTGTGATAGTTGCTAAAACAATACATTTTAAACATTTTTCCACAAAAATATGTAGATGACGGTTTTATTAATGAACTTGATTTAATCTTTTTACAATATACACATGTATCAAAGCATCACATTGCAAACCATAAATATACAAAGCTATTATCTGTCAATTCAAATTCAAGCTAATTAATTGACTGAAATTTTGATGATCAAGTAAAAGTGTTAACATCTTATAGCAAGAATTTTCTAGCATTGGCTCATATCCCAACATTCACTTCCCAAAGATAACAGAAATACGAACAAATCATTTTAAGGCCAGTTTGGCTTTAACATAAACCTGAAGAGTTCATCATATGTGACTCAGAGGTAGACACACAGAAATTTTATTCTGTATACAGCTCCTTAGTTACCTACATTCTCAAACAGGATGTCTTGTTAAAATGAAAAACTTCGCTGATCTGCCTATAATAACAGTGTCAATAATTCTGCAGGCTCCAGCTCGGAAGCTCTGTCATGGATCCTGCAGCTGTCTACCACTTAGCCTCCTCTAGTCTCGCGGGAATTTTGTGAAGATAAATAAAACAAGAGAGAACATGTAAAAATATTTTGTCTATAAAAAGTTGCCATGTGAATATTATAGGTCCATAAAAACTGCTGTGAAGTTATTATAACTTATCAGAGTAATCTGTGGTTGTTTTGTTGTTTGTAATTTGTACGCAACTAAATTACAAAAAACTTAAAGCATTTTTATATGCTCTATCTTTTTGGAGACCTTTTATATACATTGATGAAGGAAGTAGTTATAAAGAAGACGTTTTAAACCAAACAGGATGTACTAGTCCTAAGGATGCCTGCCAAGGTGACAGTCCTAACATTGAAGATGGACCTACAATTACAGCTCTGCGAATAAACTATCATTTCTGGCTTCTGCCACATAGTAAGTGCAGGAGAATCTTCCTGTCAAAGCGGGCCATGTAGCGAACGTGGTCCTCCCCTGGCTTTGAGGAAGAGGCTGTCTAGTCACATTCTAGTATCCATCGGCCCAATACCTGCTGACTTCAAAAATACGCCACATCTAGTTCTTTCATTTTAAGGAAGAGACGTGGAAATTGGGAAATAATCTCTTTCTTTTCCTAAATCACGATCTTTATTTGTAGTACATAATATTTATATTTCTTTGTGGAGCTGAAACATGTGCATAACACATCTCAGTTCCTTTTTATCCCCTATCTCTCTTCTCTCTCCCTGTCCCATTATCTGTTGGTCCCCCCCCCCCCCCGAGAAAGATCCAATTTCCCACTTCCTATTATTATCTGTCATTTATTTTACTCTTTGTCTATACTTTGGGTTTCTCATATAAGAGAAACCATGAAAGATGTAATCTTGTATGTATAATTTCAAATAATGAATAACCACTACCAATTCCTGCCACTTTTCATATCACACGGCAGGTTAGAATATCTGGAAAAAAAGAATAAAGATATGTTCAGTTTAGAAACATTTATTGCTCTTCGAAGTACATTCAAATTGCTTTATTTTTCATAGTTGTAGTTGGGTAGACTTTTTTCATGTTCTTGGGATTCTTGAATTTTGTCCACTAGTGTATAATGACATTAATGGGAGTTCACAAAACTCAGAATGAGTGTGGTTTGAGTGGAACCTCAGTAAGAGCATTTCATAGCTTCCTCTCTCATTCTGCTATTAAGATGGTTGATGAATGTTTGCTCTATGATATTATAATAAGGTTCTACGTTGTATTAATTTACTCAGCATCCTTATGACAAAGCTCACATCCTTGCTCTACAAATAAAGCTAAAACATGATTAATATTTTCTAAGTGAAATACTAATAAAGTCCAAGTATATATCATATATCCTGTTACGGTTTATATTTAGATGTTTCCCCCAGCCTCATACATTCATCTGTGGGGCTTTGGAAAGGCCAGCTGGGTATAGCTGGCTTGTCCTTGGGAACAAGTTCTAGTCTGAAGAGGCCTGCCACTGGGGCCGTGGCCTGGGAGGGTTTATTACCCTACCTGGATCCTCCCTAACTCTCTACTTCATAATCACCTTGCCATGAGCAGCCTTGCTTTGCCAGACTCCCACCATGCTGCTTCTCTTGGGAGCCACCAAGCGTGCAGGACCGAAAGTCCTAACATGTGAGCCAAATAAACCTCCCCTCTTGCAAGCTGTGAATATCGGGTATTGTATCTGAGCAACAAGGAGAGTGATTTAGGCAAATACTAAAAAAATTCCTTTATTTTTCAATAACAGAACTCAGTTCTTATGTCCCACTTCTATTGGTGACAGAAAACATAGTCTTACCACATCAAGGTAAGTCCTTTTCTTCTTATTTTTCTTAGCATTGCATGCCTGATCGGCCACTCCTGCACTCCCTTCCTCTCAATTCTTCACTTACCCATAGGGATGATATAAGTCCTAGGAAATTTACTTAGGTGGGAAATAGGGGACAAGTCCCATGTGATCACTAGATCTGTCCAACTTTATTTACAATTTACAAGTGCTTTTTTTGCCTATCTCCATCAGTGGCTATAGATATGAACTTCCTTTTGATTTTTGTGTATTGGGCTATTTCACTTAATTAATGTACGATGATGACTCCAACCCTAAGGTTTTTATAGATCCACTTCAAGACTCTCAGTCTCTTTCTCCTCAATCAGTAGTGCTTACCTCAGGGTCATCCCTCTGTCCACGTCCTTCAGACACTACCACTTACTGGTATCAGTATCACTTTACACTGTGGTCTCTCTGACAGATTTTCAGTTTTCCTAGTCCATTCCTGGACAAGTAAACACCAATTCTGTTTATGTTCAGCATCTACCAATCTGATAACAATTTCAATGGACACTTCCTCCACCCCACCCAGATGTCACACCAGTGAGAAAGGAAGTCACCCTAAGTGCCCCAAGGGACATTCACTTATGTTTATCACCCTTGGGCTTCTACACATTTTCCTTCTTTTGTTTGTAGAATTCTATTTTATTTGAGGAATTACACTTTCTAGAGCTGGCTTTGAAAAGACCTTAAAATGATGTCGAGTCTTAGGGCACCACAGACCTTTGAACCCAGATGGTTCTCTTAAAAATTATCTCCTATTCAAAGAAGCGAAGAATTTTTTTTGGAGAATTACTAAATCTAGATTTAGGGCACCAAAGTATGTAATGAGTCCGAAACATCTTGTAATATCAGATACAATGAAGTTACCAGAAGACACTACAGCTATTTCAAAAGGTCTCAGGTGTCAACTTACGAAGGTTCCACAGGCCAAAGATGGGATGGGTTGAGTTTCAAAACAATAAAAAGTGGCAGCTCATTCAAACCCACCAAATATGTTTAATTTTATGATTCAGTATTCCTATTTTAAAAATGTGTCCCCAGTGAATTAATCTATTCAAGCTATGAGCATCAATTGCTACTGATGGAAGGAAGGAAGGAAGAAAGGGAGGGAGGGAGGAAGGGAAGATTGCATGCCTGTTAGTGGAAAACCACTACCTATTAGTTCTGTCAAAAGAATAAAAAGGAGCTGTGTTAAAGCCTCTAGTCTGCTAATTTGTAGATATACAAAGAGACAGAGGAAAATATTGAACTATTGTATAAAACCTTCAAAATCTACACTACAGAAATCACTTTGGGTTATATGCTCCTAATTCTTCAATTTATTAATGGTATGAAAAAGAAGTACTGTATATTTTGGGCTTAGAGACTTGTAAAGTATCAAGTTAAAAGCACATAGGATAGATCTAAGACAAAATACCCCTACCCAATGAACTATAAAGAAGAATGAGGAGGATTTCTTAAGTGATAAACTTTGAAATGATTTAAAGAAATTTTCAAAATATATATATTTAAGTCAAATAATCGAAGTATAAAAAAGTGTTCATAGTACGACATGTTCCATGAAAGAAAGAAGAAGAAATAGGAGAATATTCTTTAGTATCATTTTAGGAGAAAACTCCGCATGCCTGGCTAAGAATCAATGAGATATTTTATAGTAGAAGTGGGAGCTGGGAGTGAGGTAAAAAATAGAAGTAAGACAATTTTCCCGTTCATATATTGTTGTAATTAGCTATGTTAACGTTTCTTACATTCAAAAGTAAATACTGAAAACCTATGATAATGAAAAAGGGGAACCAAACATGGATTACAACCAATTACAATTGTACAACTAAATCATGAAGCAGCGGTGGGGAAGAATTACCTAAGTAACTTCAGAATATAATATGTTGACCAGAGGACTTACAGCTAAAATCCAAAAGAATTATACAAAATATCATACTTTAAAGACTTTTTCCCACAGAGGGATGGGTAACAAACTCAGAAGCTGGGCTCTTCTGCCATGTTAAATCCATCTGCATAGAACATCCCACCTCTGCTGCTACTCTGATCAGCGTTGTTGTCAACCCTGAGCCGGCTGCTGCTCTGCTACCCTGGAAGATGCAAACCGGTACAACAACACAGAGGAATTCACAGAGGGAGCCAAGTTTAATGCAAGCAAGAACTAGCAGGATGTACTGGAGACTTAAGCTGAGATATGTGCAAGTGGTTTCTGATTGAATATTTGTTTAAATTTAGGGAAGTTAAAAGACTGAACAATTAAAATACAACCGCCATTAGACAGTCAATAGGATTTGGATTTGTGTTTTTTAAAAGATGCTATTAGTGTTAGTAATGGAACCGAGAAAACACAAGCTGAATGGAAAATTGATAGACAGCTCCCATAAAGACCAGCGCTTTAAAAGAGCACCCTGAAAGAGATTTTGTGGGGAGAATGAGCCAGACGTTTCTGAAGAACAATTTTAAAGTATTTTGAGCCTTTGGAGAGACTGAAAATATTGAACATCTATCTCATGGCTATAGAAACAAATGAAAGGAGACGATTTTTGTCTCACCATGTGTACCAGTGGTGGTGAAACTATGGCACGTATGTCACAGTGGGCACACAGAGACCTCTCTGTTGGCACGAGAGCCACTTTGCCTCAGCAGCCAAGCATCAGATGATGGTTGTTTTTTCTAAACTAAAACCTCGGTATTCACATTTAAGTATAAGTCTTGGCACTTTTTGATAATAAGTAGGTTTTGGGTTGCAGCTTGGGTACTAGGTCTGTAAAAGTATCACCATCACTGATGCATACCGATAAAGAGCCAGTAAAGACATTGTTAGAAAGCAGATATCATCAAATTGATTCTATGAAGTGTGAAATCAAAATTTCATAACCCAAAGAGGTATTTAGGCAGCAACAACAACTCGAAGGAGGAAAAAGTGCTGTAGGGGGTGAAGGAGGTGATACTAGGGGTGATGGCAGAAGTCGAGGCCAAAGCTGGGACCAAGAATTTAATAACTGTTACAATTATGAAAATTATTAAGGGTACAGAAGTTACAACAGGACCTAGAGTGGATGATCAAATCTATTTGGCTATGTAAGATATGATTATACTGGGCATAACTGGGAACTATGGCTGTGAACACGAGGGATATGCAGGTTACAGAGGCCAACAGAGCATGTACAGTAAAGCATTGATAGGACTGGCAAGTACCAAAGTAACCACCAGTCACACTAAAGAAGGGGCATTGGGGAAAATAAGAGATGCTAACAAAACCCACCTTAAGGATGACACTGAAGACTGGTCTCCTTTTGATCTAAAACACTTCCCAGTGTATAAGACACTACTATGTCCAGCTGGGTATAGCCAACATGTAGTTCACTTTGCTTTTACTTTGTTCTTCATATCTGTGTTATGACTCAGTGTGTGGTTCCATTTTTATAAAATTTATTTATATGACTTCTTCTTAAACCTAAGGAAGTGTTCTTATAAAACAGATTTCTGAAATTATTTTCTGTGTATTCTAAGATTGAATAAATAGTAGATAAAAGATGTATAATACATGCATATATATATATTCCTTTTTATTGTTCAAAACTTATAAATAAAGACAGGGAAAGGCTGGAATGAATTCTGAGTGTAAGATTGAGGTTGTGATTATTAACATGAACTCGTGATATGCAGAAATTGATACAGGTGTGTGTGTGTATGTGTGTGTGTGTGTGTGTGTGTGTGTGTGTCTGTGTGTGTGCCTTTTCACCAGCAGGACACAGAAATGGAGACTATATATATATATATATATATATATATATATATATATAAAATGTACTAAAATATGTACTATAAATATGTTCTCTATATAAAAGTACACAGCACATATGAAATATGTTATAAAATTATACAATGCAAGATATACTATGTAATTGATATATATTATACATCAAAATTTTACACAGTATATCAAATTTACTATGGAAATAGTAAATGGAAACTATAAAATACAATTATATATTGTTGCAATTATAATATTAACATAATTTCATATGCAATGCATATTTCTTTAACATATATAATTTAATAAACATTGTAAATAATTTCCATCTCTTAGCCTTGTATGTTGAATAGGTACAACCAGACATACACAGCTTTATCAATTTCTCAAGATTCTGTGTGTTCCTGTTGATATTCACAGTCTCAATCCTACATTTCAAATTCATTCCAGCCTTTTCTTACTTTCTTATTTGTAACTCTTCCTACAAACAAAATCCAGTATTTATGAATATGTGCCTCCCTATATGCATATGTATATTCAAAATATTAGATTGTATTATAAATATATTATATACCCATCTCCTAGCCTATTCTGCTGAAAAGGCCTAGAAGTAACAACATCTTAGTGCAGCTTATCACATCTAGTACATAGTGATTTTTAACAGGAATCCTGGATAAGTGACTGATTGCTATATAGAACTGGGTCAAGGAAAGTACAATGTGAGTTTGGATACATTGTACCAAAAAGGGACATAACTGCTTGAAAAACTCATGTGGCTATTTCAGAAAGAGACAGGAGGAAAAAAGGGTACCATTGGCTGTTTCTGGAATTTCTTGGTTAATAGGATAATTAATGAGTGCTATGCTTTGGATGGGGGCTGTCCTAATTACTTTTCTTGTTGCTGAGATAAAATACAGGATAACCAGAGTTAAAAGAGGAAAGATTTATTTCAGCTCATAGTTTGTAGAGATTTCAGACCACAGTTGAATGGTTCCAAGGCAGGGTGGCATGGCAGACAGATATCACAGAGGAGCAACAGCTCACTGCTGGCAAAAGCCAGCAGAGCAGCAAAAATAGCAAAAAGCAGGAAGCGACGACAGCAGTTCTCTTTCTGTCCCTTATATTCGATCCAAGATACAGACCCTTTGGTTGGGTAGCTCTCACACTCAAGGTGGGCTTTCCCGTTATCCACTTGCAGAATTTTGCCAAATCAGTCAGTGAAATAATTTGGTAATCACACATCCTTCATTCCAGCATCACACACTCTAGATCCAGCCACCTTTGAAAAGCCCCACTTCTGACTGCATGAGGCTTTGAAGGAATATCTAGACACAAGCCATAACAAGTAATAAAGATAAAAAGTTATTTCTAAATGATAAGAGAATCTAATCTCAAGGAGACAATGTCAGTATTGTTTGTACCCTTACTAAAACAGCTTCAGAATAATTAGGAAGAAAAAAATGTTAGAATTACAAGGAGAAATGAACTAGTTCACACTTATGGCCAACACCTTTTGTTTAATAAGAACATATAAACATTCAACAGAATCATCAACCAAATTAATTTGCTTGACATGTAGAAAACAATCCACTCAATCACTGTAGAACAAACATTTTCAAGTGCACACAGAACATTTATAAAATATAGTCTCACTGTAAAAGAAGCTTCAATAAATATGACAATTCAAAATCATATAGTATGTGCTTTCTAACAACAATGAAATTAAAATAGGAATTAAATAGCTAGTTTTAATAATTGAGAACATCTTGATAATTCTGACATATTTGAAGATTAACTAGGATATTTTTTAAAGAACTCATTTGTTAAAAGACAATTCAAGAGGTAACTAACAATGTATTTTGAACTGAATAAAAATAGAAACAATGTACAAAATGTTTAGATGTAATTAATGTAGTTTGTGGAAGGAAATTCACAATAAAAAATGTTTGTATTTGAAAAGAGAAAAAATTTTCATTAAAGGATTTAAGCTTCCCCCACCAGAAACTAGAAAAAGAACAGCAAATAAAATAAAATAAAAATAAAGCAATTAAATAGAACACTGAAAAAGAAAGAAGTTGCTTCTTAGAGGTCAATAAACTTCATAAGCCCTTAAAATGATCAGAAAAAAGCAAACGAAGTACTGATTTCAAGAATTATGGGAGTGATCTTACTATAGATTCCAAAGACAATAAAAGAAAAAGAAACGCTATAAACAACGTCATGTGTATAAATTGAATAACTATATTTAAATGGACTAATTCTTTGAATAACACATACTCTCAAAACTCTGTGAAAAGGAAATGGACAATCCAAACAACACTGTGGAAGTGAGTGTGCTCTACAAGGATTTGATCAGGGCCTGAGCTTGTCATGCAGTCACTGTGTTGCTGAGCTACATCTCCTGCATACAAGGTCAGTTATTTCAAAAGCAAACCATTTTTCTTATATTAGCAATTTGCATTTGAAAAGTAAAGATATTAACCCATGTAAAATGTGTTTCTAAAAATAGTTTTAAAGTCAAGTAATATTCTACTATTCAGGATACTTATATAAAAATAGATACACCTGGAAAATATAATGCTAAGTGGAATAAATTAGGCATACAACCTTATACGGATGGTACCTCTCATTCTAGTAAGGTGAAGAGCAAGATAAAATAGAAGAAAACAAGGAAATAGATCTTTTTTACAGATGAGAAGAGAAGGCTGGAGATTTAGCTCGGTGGCATAAGCACCTGCCTGGCAAATGCGAGATCATGAGTTCAATCCTTGGTACAAAAAAAAAAAAAAAGAAAAGAAAGAAAGAAGAAGAAAAAAAGGATGAGAGCATAAGAAGGGGAAGTAAAACAATGTAAGATGTGTCACTATGGGTACCAAATACTCACAATAAATGTAAACATCATATGTCATAAACATGAATAAAAATAACAAAATAAGAATGAAAATGGAGAAAGAGGAGTTAGAAATGGAAGGAGAGAGGAGGGTTAGTTGGGGGAAGGAATTAAAATAGAATCAAGGTGTGCATGCATCTCTTCCCTAAGATGAATGTAGACTTTCTGTACCACCAACACATACTATTAAAATGAAAAAAATAAAAAGTTTAAAATTAACATAGAGATAATTCTGATGGAAAAGTTATAGATGGGTTGTCCTAAAAACATAGGTAAATTTCTTAGAAATAACATTAGAAATATGATATATAAAAGTAACAAGTTGATAAATTGAATGTTAACAAAATTGTGAATTTATACTTTTCATGACGAGAATTAAAAAGATAAAAAATTTTAATGTCAGTGTTTCTTAGAAGATCTAGAGAATTAAGACTCAATAAGAAAACCGGTATTCAATAGAATATCAAAATATTTCAATAGGCAATTGACCAACAAAACCTAAGGATGGTAAATTATCACAAAAATGCTCCAAACCACTAGTCATCAAGTAAACACAAATTAAAGCTACAACAAAGGATCAAACCATACCTGCTAGAGTCTCTACAATTAAAAAATTTAACCACACTGATTGTTGGTAAAAATCTAGAGCAACTAACTGATACTATATACAATGCTGATGAAAATGTGACATTGTTCATGTATCTTAGCAAATAATTTGGTAGTTTTTAAAAATATATATGATTCAAAGATTCCATTCCTAAATATCTACTTGAATGGCATCAAAACATATGCCCCTCACAAAAGAGTTGTAAACAAATGTTCATAGTAGTTTTGTTGAAAATATCATGCTCAACAAAATCCAAATACCTATGGATATGTGAATAAACAAATCGTTGCCAAATAACAGCGACAGAAAGAAATAAAAAGGAACAGATTAAGAGCACAAGTAAATCTCAACATCATTGTCTCGAGTGAAAGAAGCAAAAGAAAAGATTAATATACACGACATTATTCAGTTCATACGAAATTTGTGAAGGTACAAACTAACAATTTCAGAAAACATGTCAACAGCTGGTTAAGCATGTGAGAGTGGTGACGTATGGGAAGAAAGGCTTTCCATGGGACATGAGAAAACTGCTGAACATCAGCATCTGTATATTATCTTGAGTGATGATGGTTACACAGGTTTATACATATCCCAAATTCCAAATAGTCACTTTATAAATGCATAACTCATTTATCTCAATTTTGCCTCAGAAAGGCTACAAGATATGGTAATAAAACATTTTAATCCATTGACTAAAACAATATTATACTGAGAACAAATAATTGTTTTGTTAAAATGAAACAAAGTATTCTAATAAAATTATTTTCTCTTTATTCTTTGGAGAGTCTAATATTCATAAAACATCAATATATTGAACATGTACAAATTAAAAATAATTATGTATGCAATATATTTTGACACATTGAAAGATACTTTATAAACGAACAATACAATCTTTAAAAATGTGTAATTACAGCAATCCATTCACCTGGTATGATAATCTTCTAGTTATGAATTAACAAACACTCAGTTTTGCTGAGGAGAAATAGTAGTAATATTCCTGTAAAATATTTAACTCTGCGAAGCATAACCTCACAATGTATTCTCTAATGTGAATTGATTATTAAATATACTCTTGAAACCTGCAAGAAGTTGACATATAAGCAGAGATATTTCACCTTTTGTAGTTACCCACCAAAACCAAGACTTTTATTTTTTAACCTACTGTTGACGAGGCTTTTTTGGTTTTGGTAGTAGATAAATGTAAAGATCAATTTATAGAGTTCTGTCGCAGTTGGTATGGCAAAATACAAATAATTAACGTACAGTATAACATAGTGTGTTTTTTATTA